ACTACTGTTATCTGTGTTTTATTGGTGTGAAGCTGCAGCTGTACAGTGTTGTGCCTCTGGATCTCATGGTTAGTCCCATCGCAGGTGGTGGACTTCTGCTCAGTCCCCTCTGCCCTGCGAGGGCACTGCGTGAGTGCGTGACGGTCACATTGTCAATGAGGAGCCTTTGGAATTTGCAGAGCATCTTCTCTCTCTCTGCTATTGCATGGCAGTTCTCCGGAGCATCAGGACAGTGTTCAGTTGGTTATCCTTTGATAACCATGGTGTACATGCTTACTAAGGCAGCAGTAATATTTAGAAGTTCTAGTGGTGCCTCTTCCATTACTTCATGCCTAAGGAATACTTACACTTGGATTTTTAATTTTTTTTTTTAAGTGTTTACTCCAACTTTGTACTGCCTCACATCTTTTCCAAGCTCAGTCTGGAACAGCAGAAACAGAGCTAGCCACTGTTTTTATCTGGAAGGCTTGCCTTTTCTAAAGGAAATCATCTTTTTCATTTCAGTCTTAGTAAAATTTTGGAAATGTTTTTTCTCATGATTTCAGATGAAATACCAAAAAAAAAAAAAGCCAGAACCAATAGGAATTGCAGAAATTGAGCTGTTATCTTGATTCTGAGCGGTGCTGATAGCAACAACCTTTTCCCAACTTGTGTAACATCAGTAGGCTATGAGAATCCAACAGCGAGGACTTTGAATGAGCTAGCATTCCTGCTTCATAATGCACTTTACATTTCATGTCCTCCTACTTTTGCCTTTTAAGGCAAAAAAATATTATTTCCTGAGGTTACAGTGAACACAAGCAAGTTCTCTACAGTTGTGCCAAGGGAGCTGGTGAGGAGCCCAGATGACTGCTATCAGCATTCTTGCCCTTTTAACCATGTGAGAGCACAAAACAAGCTGCTTGTGCTTTTTAACCATTAGCAACACATCCTCCCAGAATTGGACACAAACCCTGTTATCTTTCCTGCAGAGGAGGACGGTTGGATGTTGTCATTTAATTCTGTCTCGGGCAGCAGTAATCTGTACCTGGCAGTTCTGTTTCTGCTTTCCAGAACTGCTGATGACCGGTATTTTGAGCCAGTGTAAGTTTGTGTGACAGAAGATAGTTACACTGTGCTGGTTGAATATCATCTTTGCTTCCTCATGGGTCACACCATAAATAGCTATCGTATTTCTGTTCCCTTTGTACTAGCAATTAAAGTAGAATGTGTTGAATTGCAGAGAGAAACTAATTGTTTGTCACTTGTTTTGTGAGAAGGTCTCCTGTTCTTTAAATGCTTCTTGCACAGGCAAAATGCAGTGCAATTAAAATGACTTTGTGCAATGTGTAGGGAAGGTCAGGAGAACAGTGTGCTGTGTGCTTGAATAGTACTTCAGTCCTCCATTACTAGCCCAGCCTTTCTCATGTAGCATTTACCAAGCTCTGCTGTTCAATAAAAAAACCAAAACATATATCAATATAAAATAATAATTTTGTTTATCTCAGTCTTACACAGTGCCACAAAGACAGTCTAAAGCTTCTGGGCCATTCTGCAGTCTGTGTGCTACTGCAGCTGCCAGGAGCATTTGTGTAGTGACTTCACACGTAGCAGCAACATCGCTTTGTTTGCTTGGTTCTTTTTAAAAGGATTTCATACCTGCTGTGGTTCCTCTCAGCTTTGCATGATTTTCTGAGAAAAATCAATTCTTTCCTCAGTTAACTCATCGGGTCTAACATCAAAGCTGCAGAGTGTCAGTCACTGAGGACACAGTACAGCACATTGGCAAACATGCTGGAACAGTTGCCAGTAGTTTTGGATAAATCTTAGAGGAAGTGGAAAGTAATACAGATTAACTCCAAAAGCTACACATTCCCTTAAATCATCTGGAAAATAAGACTTAACACAAGAAGGCAATTGGAGTGAGCACTGAATAGCAAAACTTGGAAGTTAGTGTTCTTTTTCCCTCTTGTGGTAAGAAAGTTTGTTCTGTATTAGCCTCAACTGCAAGAACTCTCATTTTTTTTTTTTTGTCTCCAAAAATGTTTGTGTATCGCAGCAGAAAACTTAAACTGTTAGAGGAATTTCTTTCATCTTCAGAGTTTGTGAAATTTGGATCTTTATTTATCTTGGAAATAACACAGAATCATAGAATGGTTGGGCTGGAAGGGGCTGTAAGGATCATCCAGCCCTCCCCACCATGGGCTGGCTGCCCCCACCAGCTCAGGCCGCTCAGGGCCCCATCCAGCCCAGCCTCGGGCACCTCCAGGGATGGAGCACACACAGCTATCTGGGCAGCAGTGCCAGGGCCTCACCGCCCTCTGAGTAATGAATTTCCACCTGACCTCTAACCTAAATCTCCCTTCTTTTAGTTTAAAGCCATTCCCCCTTGTGTCCTGTCGCTTGTAAGTTCCTTCAAGTGCTGGAAGGACAAAGGTATGCCGAGTTATTTACAGTCGTTGGAGAAATGACAAAATGTATCTGTAGGGTCCACGAAGGGTGAGGTTAGCCCTTGGTGTGGAATTCAGCTCTGTCCCCATGGCCCGGTTCCCAGCAGCCGTCCCTGTGCTCCGTGGGCAGGGCCTGTTATCGCGCCGCGCTGTGCTGCGTAGGCTTCGCCTGACTCTGTGAACAGCTGACAGCATTCCTCTTGTTAGTACAGCCGCGAAGCAGGAAGGTTTCACCATTCTGCTATGGCGCAGTGATAAAGTAGCAGTCTTTTTATGGTTAGGTCCTCGAAGTGACAGTGCGTGTTTCAGTGATAAAGAGACAGAGCTCGGGATATCAGACCCAGACGTATTATCTGTAACAGCACACCGTGCCTTAAATCCTTCCACAATGACAGGAACCCCATCTGGAGTGAAGGTTTCCAGAATCTTAACCGGGAGATACTGAGCATTTTCCTTCCTCATGAGTCAAACAAAGTTAACCCCATTGTTATCGAAAATAAAAATAGCTGCTGGCCGAGAGGAAGGATGCCTTTCTGTATTTTCTGAGCCCGTTCCTTTGTATTGGAGCTGTGAGCATATCATCAGGCAGATCTCTGAGGATGAGTCCCAGCGTTACACTCACATTTTCACTGTTGTTTTATAAAAAGGGGCATTAATGAAACTCCCATGCTGCAATACTTAAAGTTGCACTAACCTCTTAGGAACTAGACAGAAGATCAGCACTGTCTGCTGCGTACTTATTGCAAGTTCTTTCTATGTAATAACTAAACACAGCTTCTAAATGTCTTGCACACTGTGCTGAGCACCCTGTTAAGTACCTATTTGGGTTCTATTTCAAGCATTCCATGGGTTGCAGGGGTTAAGCACAATGCAGATTACACAGTGTCAACATTTTCCCTACTGATATCAAAGTGTAGAGAACTGGCAGCCTGACTTGTCAGGAAGGACTGGGAGGGATAGCGGGCTCCGACCTTGAGCAGCCGGCCCTTGTATGGCCACGTCCATATCCGTGCCCAGCGGATTGGCTGGCGGTGTGGGATCGCGGCGCAAGTGGGGCTGGAGGGAGCTCCACCTGTTCCCCATGTGCTGCTTCAGTGGTGGTATTTTTGTGGGAGTTCCAGGGACGGCGTGGGATACCGGGAGCCGGCCGAGAAACCCGAGAGGGGAATTATAGCTTGTGGTGACCTGTGATATTAAAGAATTTCAGAGAACGCAATTGGATTTGAGTGCTGCTTAGAAGCTGAAGTAGAAGTAGGGAGTGTTTTGTGCGTGTATAAATAGTAAGGGAGTTTTGTGTAATTTTTATTGTGCTAGATAGTGCTTGAGTAAAAAATGAATGCTTTAAACTAACCTTTTTTTTTTAAAAAAAAAATGTTCAGTACGTTATGGAAGCATAGCTTCCATATTCACCAGAAAGTGAATTTCTTTCTGTTGCTGAGAATGTCGACATGTGGATTTCAATTTTTTAGGATCTTTCACTGTAAAGTTCATAAAACTTGCATGCCTTGTCAGCAGAAGAAAGCACCACCTCCCTGCCCCCATGGTCCCACTGCTGCCTTATATGTGGTTCACGTGGACCTGTTGAAAAATGTGTATTGCTTTCCTCTTGTAACCTATCTTAAAACATTTTTGATTTTTCTGTGGGTAGCATTTTAAATCTTACTTTGTTAGAAATGAGAACTTGCAATGAGGATTTTGATTGTGTAGTAGATGAAAAAGAAAAAAAAAGACTGCTAACATATCAGATGGATCTTTTGTTTGCTCACAAGAGCTGCAGGTTCACATCCTTCCTCAGCAGCTTATTCGTAGTGCCTGCATTGTAGACACGCTCTGTTTCTGGGGGATGTTGATGCAAGAGTTCCACCAGAAAACAGGAAGTACCCCACAAAGCGGTCACATCAAGTTAGAGTAAAGGAGTCTGAAAAAGCTTATATTTAGCAAACTAAGTCATGTTACAGAGGGATTATGTCATTTCTTTTTATACTTTTTGCACTTCTTGTTACCATGCAGGATGACTGCAGTGCAGGAAAATCCTGCCTTTGTAAGCCAGTGAGACCAAGTGTTACATATATTCATGTAATGCAGTAGCTACATTCAGATGAAAACTGTTAGTCGCTGTATCGCTCGACTTCAAGCCATATGCTTTTTAAAATATAAGGGATGCTAGTAGGGATGCTAAAATCAATTTATTAAAGATCCAATAAAGACTAAGATGTTTTTGAATTACCAGTGAGGGCATTAACTCCTTTGCCATAGGCTGACTGTTGAAGTTCTGTCAGGCAACTGTCCTCTATCAGCCGGTGTCTGAAAGCAGTTTGGTGTAGAACACTGGAGAGATGGAATGATTTTAGGTTAAAACTGCCCGTGAGATGGCACCTTGGGAGCCTATGCCTCTGAATGAACCTTTTCTGTTGGTGTACTATGCCACTGTTTTGAAAGACTTAGCTTGTCTATTGATTTTTGTCTGTGAAAATTTCTTGTAGTTTCAGTGGCTCTGAATGATTCGGTAGTATACAAAAGATCTTGGCAAGTTAGTATGATCTGTATGTGAATTTTCCAATTGTATTTCAGACCTTAAGAAAGAAAGGCCTTAATGGTTGTGAGAGCCCTGATGCTGACGATTACTTTGAGCACAGTCCACTATCGGAGGACAGATTCAGCAAACTAAATGAAGATAGTGATTTTATTTTCAAGCGAGGCCCTGTAAGTACTTTTATTTTATCTCTACTTTTTATTTGTTGATCCTTTTTATTAACTTCATTATTTAGGCTCTGAACAAGAAGGAACACAGAGGGTGCGACAGCCCGGACCCTGACACTTCATATGTGCTCACGCCACATACAGAAGAAAAATATAAAAAAATAAATGAAGAGTTTGATAATATGATGCGGAATCATAAAATCGCAGTGAGTACTAAAGTATGGTTTGTGCTTCTATTACATGCATGAGAGTTTTCACAGGTGTTGCTTACCATTGTAAAGACAAGAGGCTGTATTGGTTTGAAAAAGGAAATGTGCATTTTCATGAGGTAAAATGAGGCATTGATACTCGCTCTTGATAATTACATTTTTTCATAAGGAGTAGGAAACAAAGAAATTGTGTCTCCAGCTTCTCAGTGATGCACACAGGTTTTTTCATGCTGTGTGGATGTGAAGTAACGTTTCTAAATTTCAGGACCTTAGCTTCCTTGCCTAAAATATTCTAAAAAGACAGATTTCATTATGGGATATAAAAATCTTATGGTCCTTATTCTATTTGATAAAGATTTTACAATATGTTACAATTAGAGTTGGTTCATTCTATTACCAAATCAATTGACTTTATTTTCCTGAAGGCAAGATTTAGAAAGGCGTTCAGATGTTTCAGAATGACAGTGGGATCCTCAGAAGGATTGATGTCTTGTTGAAAGCATGTTCAGGCAGAGAACATAGACACCAGAAGATCTTCTGAAAATTTTGTATTGAGGGTCTAACTCAAATATTTGTCACGTGCTGTAAGTCACTTAATTGCTTTGGGAAGATATTATCACCCATCCCATAGTACGATCTGAGCATCATTTCCATTTTAATATTATATAATTAAAAAATGAGCCCCGTGTGTTTACAGGGCAGGTTGTCCATGTTCTCATGAGTTTCGTATTTGCCCTTTAATTTATGAGTCCAAGGTAAAAGGATTCAGTGGCATACTCTTAGATGAGAATTATTGGGTTCTAGAACTCAAGAACTTTGGGGTTAACAGTAATGGAATTTTGGCATAATCTTCTCAGAGGTGTGATGTTTAATTTCCACCTACAAGAGCAGTTAGCATTGAGTGTTACAGGTGGAGTATCTTCTGAGAAAACTAATATGGGGCTCTGCCACAACCTTTAAATTTTTTAACGTTATCAAATTGTAACAATTAAAATAAATGGACTGGCTAGGTCAATCAGCATAGATCCTGGCTTAAGTGAAGAGTGTGTCCCCACAGGACTGCTAATAGTGAAAATGATTTAACTGATCACAGCAATAGAACCATCTCTGGGGAAAGAACAGCAAACTGGCAGTCTGACACCCAGAATCCATTCTTTTTGCAAATTCTTTATGCTTGAATGTAGCCAATGTCTTTTATTCCTTCTTTGTTTTGATGTTTTTGCTACCTAGTGTTTCTGTATTGAAACACCTTTAGGCCTCTTCTATTAGTATGATGGTTAAATTGCTCTCCATTGATGTTTTGTGGTCTTCCTGAGCGGCCTAAGTTTTCTGTGTGGGCATTAATGTAAATAAAAAAGGGAACATAATTTTGAGCTCTGTAGTTCTGTATTTATAGTTTAAATTATACCCGTTGTGGTTCTGTTTCCAGTACTTGTGGATCTTGGATAAGAATGTAACTTCTTTTATTCTAGTACACTTATTACTGTTGAAAGATAGAAATGAGGCAGAGTGAAGAATTCAGTCAAAACCAAATGCATACCATAGATGGACAGATGCTGCTGTCCATCTGTATTGTAAGGAGTGGGGGAAGCTGTCATTTATAGATTCCATATTGAGAAGCCTATAGAAAAAATGTTCAAAAATGTTCTTACTGTTAACTTCTAAGCATTGTTTTAAGCATACTTCAGCTATTTCAAGTATAGTTTGAGTTAATGGAAAGCATGCTATTTAAAAGCATCCTTTTTTAATAGATAATAAACAGTTTCTTGAAGTAGTTTCCCGTGAAGACAAGTATCAGTGCAGCTTGTCATTACTTAGATGCAGTGAATGATTTGCTAGCATTACATTGCTGTGCTTCGTTACTTCTTGCTTCCATCTGTGCCAAAAAATCATAATTATTCTGAGGAATGCTTCAGTATGGAAGCTGTCATTAGTTCTCACTAGTAAGAGGTTTTGCTTTTTGTATGAAGTGTATTATGGTCTTTACATTAGTGTAGAATTACTGTTGTATTTCAGATTATATCAAATTATCATTTAGAAGTGTCATTCTGTGTAAATTTTAAGCTGCATATGACAAGGCACATCTCTTAAATATACTTGCTAGGTCATGAGTGTGTGTCATCTTCAGCTGACCTCTAAACTACCATCTCTGTCAACAAATCCTACTGAATTTTTATTCTTAAGCTGTACCTGTCATAGTTTAGTTGCAGTTACTCTGGGAGTTGTGAAAGAAAATGGTCCCTTTTGTTTCAGAAACACAACACTGTCAAAGGATAGGAATGAGACAAAAGCCAAACAAGTTAGTCATAACCAAATGAGCACCATAGATGGGCAGGCATTTAAACTTTTGAGTCAAATAGTTGTTGAATAACAAACATATATACACTGTGGAAAAATAGTTGCCTTTTGAATAGTGCTGTGAGAATTAGAATAACAAAAAAAATAAAAAGGGAAAAACGTTTACATAACAAGAAAATGGAGTGGTTATTCAAGCAGAGTTTTGCAGAACACGTCTCAGAAAACAACAGTCGAAGTTGGTTAAAATCAAATTACTGAAGTTTGTAAATTTCTGAAGGTTTTACTTTTGTGGCGTGTTGAAAAAAGGTTTTAGAGATTAGTAGCAATATTTTGGCAAGATTATTAGTAGAAAATGTTATTACTAATTGATCCTTTTTTGTCTTATAACTTTTTATAATGTGCATGTTTATGCTTACATTTTGAAGATGTAACTGTTTGTCGATTTGTCAACATATTTATCTTGTCATGGCTTTGTAATAATCCAAATTAACTGGTGAATTTATTGTATTTCTGAGCTATATGAATATCTTCAGATTTTTGTATGTTAATTTCCTCTCAGTGTTTTGATAAGTTTATGAGTAATTCTTCTGGAACTGTATTTTTGACGTATTATAATTCAACACCAGACTGCAGCAAATGGATGTTTTCAGATTGTATGATTAATGAATTAGAGTTTCAAAACTAACATAATTAACTCTTGTAATTGTTGGCAAACTTGTAATGTGTATTTTTTATAATGTGCTGTGTTTGTGAATATAGTTAATGTTAATCTTGTCTTGTGTGTTCTCTGCTTTCTTTCCTCCAGCCCGGCTTGCCTGCTCAGAACTTCTCCATGTCGGTTACAGTTCCAGTGTCCAACCCCAACACTTTAACCTACAGTAACCCAGGGAGTTCCCTCGTATCCCCATCACTGGCAGCCAGCTCATCATTAACAGACACGACCATGCTCTCCCCACCTCAGACCACCCTGCATCGGAACGTATCACCTGGGGCCCCGCAGAGACCACCGAGTACTGGCAATGCTGGTAGGATTTCAGTACTGTTGTGCTTTTCCTTTTTCATCCTTCTTTATGTTTTCATTAAACAAACAAACAAGACAACCCACAATTTTTTTTTTTCCAATGATTTTTTTTTTTAGGTGGAATGCTGGGGACAACTGACCTCACAGTGCCAAATGGAGCTGGTACCAGTCCAGTTGGTAAGTGTGGTATCATGTCTGCGCTGAAAAATAGTATCATGGTTTCAGTTCGCACACTTACTCAGAAGCTGTTATTTAATTTTGATTCTTTTTGATTAAGGAAGAGCAAACGACATAGTTATTAAATTGCCTTGTAATTTGTGACTTTTGTAATTTTTTATCAGACCTTTAACCCTCATACTTTTTCTACTTCACTAATAATTTGCGTTTTTTTTACTGCAGTTGCTTTTAGTTGTTTGCTGCTCTTGCTTTTTTTTTTCCCTACAAGTGGGATTACAGCATGCTTGAGAGTTATGTTCCCCCCCCCACCCTTTTTTTTTTTTTACCTTTATATAAAATTCTCTATGCTTACTAAACTAGCTGTGTTCTGAAGATCTGGGTGCTCGGTGCTGGTTCTGGTTCCTATCAAAATGATGAAAATACGAACTATGTTGTTTGTGTTGCTATGTATATCTTGCTAATTATTTTCTAGCTCTCGGACAAAAACAGCTTGGAAAACAATAGCAAGGTTCAGTTTTAATTTTGGAAGATGATCAGCATTTCTTTCAAATATGAATTAGAGACCTTGCCAAATAATCAAATTCACAGTATTTTTTGTCTTCAGCAAATTGATATAATAGCATTTTTTCAGGTAAATAAATCTTTGTCTTGCCTAGACAAAATTTAATACTCTGATAGTGATCAGGCAGCCACTGAATTTTACAGATAGACAGAATGAATGATAGCTCACCCACCTTCTTCATATTGCTTCCATTCCTTGAGATGTCTTGGTAACGAAGAGCCAATTTTGGAAGCACTTATAGCTGTCTTCGGTAAATGTTCATGGCAAGAAATGAGAGGAGCATCTCTTGACCTTCCAGTATTTGCCCACTGGTTACTTAATGTGGCACTTGAGAAAAAGTTGTTTGAAGATAAACTCAGTTGATAGGATTTATAAATAAAAAAGGTGCAACTACATGCTGAAAGCATGAGATTAACTTTCCATTCTTTCTCCATTCTTTGGCTATATGCAGCAAATAAATATTTAAGTATGGCTTCCATTGAGTAAGCAACATTTTAACGGTAGGAAAAAACAATTATTTTTAGAAGCTGTGGAGATCACATGTTGATTTCTGTAGTGTTTATGGGAGCATAGGAAGTTCTGCACCAATATGTGAAGGAACTTCTTTACAGTGAGGTGACGGAGCACTGGCACAGGCTGCCCAGGGCAGTTGTGGTGTCTCCTTCTCTGGAGATATTCAAGACCTGCCTGGATACTTACTTGTGCAGCCTGCTGGAGGGGACCTGCTTTGCAGGAAGGCTGGACTCAATGATCTCTGGAGGTCCTTTGCAGCCTCTACAATTCTGTAATTCTCTAGTTGGAGGAAGTTTATTATCAAGACACTTCAGTCATCTTTTCCAAAATCAAGCTTTAGTAACAGCGGCTGCAGGTTTAAGACTCCTGTCAATAAGAAAATAAGACAGTTGTCTACAGCACTTGCTATGGAGTATTAAACAAGGGAAATACCAATTTTCAGTAGCTTGGTGAACATATTTAATGCAGTAGAAATGCTTTCCTTCTTGCATTTATTAATAGTTTATGTGAAAAGTCAAAATGCATCACTTATCTCTTGCTTTCCAGAACATCACACCCAAAATGTTACACACATACCCACTCATTTCTAGAAAGATTTTCATTTAAATAAGAGTTGTGGCTATATAAGAACAGTGGAAAATCTGTAAGTAGTACCTCTAGCAAAAAGCAGATACCTTGTTAGTACCACAGTACTAAATTACAGAGTCTGTAAAGTTGTTGGAGCTCCACAGTCCACTAGAATGTGGCATGACTTCCTTCAGATACTGTCAGGTACACAATAACCTCCTCAGTTTTAAACAAAATTGAAAAAGCCTGCATAAATAGACTGAGCCTTGGCTGCTGCTTATTAAGAGTATACTTCAAGTTAAGATCTGCAAAAAACAGTGGTTCTAGTTTGTTGTTATATTTACTGTAGAATTCACTTTAAACAAAATGCATTTTCATTTTTTAGCTCTTTATTTTTTCCTCATTTATACTTGTCAAGAGTGGAGAATTCTGCTATAGATATAGTTGTGAAAGGTCGTGTTAATTTTTCAGCTCTCTGTAGAGATGCCAAAGATCAAGGTGTGGTACTCACAGTACCCGATATTCTCTGCAAACAGTTGCACCAGATGATCTTGGAGGTCTTTCCAACCTCAGTGATTCAATGATTGAAACAAAGGGAAAAGCAGCTCTGAGTCTCCGTTAGGAAGTTTTGAGCATTTGATTATGCTCTCTTTTAATTGAAAGATGCTTACACATTTATGTCTCTGAGTGCAAAACAAGTAGAGGTTATCTTGGGAAGTAGTTCATGGTAAAATCTTGCATAAAATGGCTCATTTAATTCACATGAGGAACTTTTTTTCCCTCATATCCTATGCATCTTGATTAGAATAGATGATTTGCTTTAGCAGTCAATCTGCCAACAACAGTTCTTCTGTGGAAAGTAACTTTTTCTGATGAATAAAAATATCTGTGTGTTGTAGCGAAGATTGGTAGGTGGCTTTTTATGTTTAGAACAGAAAATTTTGTGATCGTTTTGCATGCAGCTGTCATAACTTTGAGAAATCTATTTTACATTTTTTGAGGGTTTTTTTGAAGTTAACCCATCATATGAAAACTTCAGCAGATCCTTTTCACTTAGCAAGTGTATCAGTTTTGAGAGAAGGAAGAAGATCCTACATTTTGAGTCTTTGCTTTTGAGCAAAGATTTTTGTTGTTAATTAAATATTTTGCAGCTAGAATTTTTATGATGGTATTGCCAGTAGTCAGCACTAACCCTGTTCAGTTTATGATGGACATCTAATATGCTTCAAGAGTCTCATATCCCCAGGATGTGTACAGTTTGCTGTTTATTATCAACGTTATCATGGCATGAGCGCATGCTGCGTGTCCATATCATTCTTTTCAAAAGTCTGTGTTTTCTGTTAGCCGAAGTATATTGTCACTTGCTCTGAATATCCAAATATGGGGGAGAAATTCTTTGATCTAAAACTGAAAGGACACTTGATGGACAGATCACCTTCATGTTTATCATAAGGATGTCTATCTTACTGCGTTCCAGAAGATTTGGTGGTATTTGCCAGCAAAGTTCAGTGCTATTCAATTTGTCTTATTCTTGATAACTGTAAGAATTGGAAAACCTTAAAAGAAGTACCAGTGTTAGCCCATTTCTACTTTCTGCTCCCACACCTTTCTTGTGAGGCACTGAACTATAACCATGCAAAATACCAGAGTGACCCGTTAGGATTGTGGCCTTCATTGCCTGGGCTGCATGCCAAGGAAACCCTGATACCTTCGAAGTATGGTGAGCTCCCAAAGAACTTCCCAGTAATGGATGTTTTTGGAGGAGCTGTTGGAACTGGAGAGTCTTTATAATGCAGGGACATGATATCTTTTTACAAGTATCTTTGTTGGTGAAGTAGCCCTTGCAGTCAGTAATGTGATGTATGAACCCAGTTCATCTGGGGAATTTTCTTTTACAATTTTGTCATCAGAAAGAATGGGTAAGATAGAGTCATCCTGCACACTGACTTTCTCCTCTTCATTCCGGATCTATCTTATGTCATGTCCTCACTGATCTTCAGATTCTGAGGACATGAAGTAACTTCAGGTGTATTGAATTTCTTTGGTCTAGAGCTGAAGAATATAGTTGCCTGAACAGCTGTGTCTTGTGAGCTACTGGATCCCTACTGAGAGACAGCCTAGATCATGTGTCATCTTTGATCATGGTGTCATGACACCAGGAAGGATTATACAGAGGTGCATTGACAGTTTGCTTACACCTGTGAACTGCCTTGCAGTTCAGGAGGGGATCAAGACAGGGCAGTGTGAAAGGCCATGCCAGCAAAATGGTTCACTAACTCAAGGGCTTGTCTGACTGGGAGACCATTTCTATGTGTTTGAGGATAAAACAGTCAGACTGATCTTTCACAAGTCTGTTAAGTCAAATGACTGTTATGCTGCAGTTCTTAAGCATACAACAAAAGGCTTCAATAATAAAATAGCTTCCTGTGCATACATTTCTCTTCATGTTTTGCTTACTAAATGAAAGAGCACCCGATGAGAAGTATACAACTAACTGAAAAAAACCCTTGCAGTGGTTTTGCTTTAGATTGGATTGGTGCTACCAACCTTTTCCTTAAGGGATCACGTTCTTCTTCCTCTACTTAACACCCAAATTCACCAATTTATGTGAGGACTGCTCCAAAATTAATGCTTCCTATTTTATTATGTTGGTCCACAACATCAGAGAAAGATGTTGGTGGGACATCAGAGGAGCTGTGTGACAAAATGGCATCTGACGTGGAAGAGGAATGAAGCAAAAGGATGGAATTGAATTCTTCCATGAGGAAAAATGGCACCCATTGACATTCATCAGCGCTTGCTGAGAGGTTGTGGAGACCAAACAGTGAATGTAGCACAGAGAAGTGGTGGGTTGGTTTTGTGTAGATGTATAGAAATCAACAGATTCAGAAAGCAGAACTCTGATTTCATTAAGTGTAAATTGTGTAGTTTGGAAATGACTTAAAAGACATCTATCTCATTTCCACTGCTGTATTTTCTCAGGCAGTCAGATAACATTTAGATACAAAAGCCATTTCGTTGCTGCGTTCTGAATAAACAACCATTATCTTGAAGATGGTATTTAAACTCTAAATATTCCTAAAAGTTCTCTCTCATCCTTGCATTTACCTTCAGGAAAAAGGAAAATCCAGCAACCTTTCTAAGGCTGAGTCTTTTTAAACTTTATTTTGCCCTTCAGTTTTGTTAGAGTGCATTTCCTTGGCAATATGGTGTGTCTTTTTTGCTGCATTTTAATATCTAAAGTACTGCCATTAGAAGTATAAATTGTACATGTTTCAGAGTCTGACTGCTGTCAAAGGTATACTTTAATTCTATCCATAGTACTATCTGTAGGATTGATCTTTAAAGATCTGTGGAAATAGATTAATTTCAGCTCCCTAAAAATGTTACAATACAGCCTTCTCAAAGGCAGCAGAGAACTAAGGTGGAGTTACAAAATTAGGGTGGCATCAGCAGAGATTTCTGTGCAAAGCTGAAAGTGGTGTGAGCTGCAACTGTGGGTTGCTTGTTGTGGTTTTATTTTAATTCCTACTTAAAGCTGTCATATTCAGGAACACAAACTGAGTAGCTACTGCAAGTAGAAATGCAATTGTTAGATTTGGTTTCAAAACTTTATCCCCAACCCAAGTCTCATGTATAAGCACTTTTCTGGTGTTCTGTAGGTATAGTGGCTCAATGTTTGCAAATGTACTTTTCAGCTTACTTCTATTTATGTGACTTTTGTCAGGTTACATGATGTCACTTGCATATCTATTTATTTGCTACCATTTTTATTTTTGCTTAATCTGATGTTATTCCACTCCTTGTCCATGATTATTTTTCAGAACTATATGCAGCCATTTAGTTTCTCCAGAGGTGAACCACAAAAAAAGATTAATAGCATCAACGACTGTAATTTATTCCTTTAGTATTAATAAGAACATGGAGTGCTTTCCAGCCACGTGTGTTCATTGTTTCAGCTGATGTGATTTGTACAGTGATATATGAGTCTGGCTCGTGTAATTGAATGCTTCATCTTGGGCTGGAAGACTATAAATGAGATTAAGCTGCATTAGATTTCTGAAGGCAGGGGGTTCAGTTGTTGTTGAAATAGCTGGATTTTAAAACTTAGGCTTAGGAAAGAAGGCTAAAGAAGAAGTAGGCTCATGGACAGCAGCCGTGCTTATTATCACAGCAATTCACTGAATTTTAAAATTTGTTTAAAATGATTTCTAGAATTGAGAGCTTATCTTTACATGGGTGTCTGTTTTCCAAAAACGTGTCTTGAAAATGCACTTATAGTTGTGCTTAAAAAATCAGTTAAATAAAACTCTTACAATGGAGATAAAAGCAGCAGTCTGAATTTATGCTTGCATAGGGAATTATATTCTGCTTCCATTTTTCAGTTTGGTGTTTTTAAATTTAAAATAACTGTATTTGGGAAAGGTGTATGTTGGATGTGGTAGATAAAATTTCTGCGTGATACAAAATAGTGAGCAGAATTTATGGGGGTATTACAGCCTCAGTTTGGCAGGGTGCCGAGGAGTTGCATCATGCTGTAATGGTTATCGTTTTCTGGCTCCTGACCTTATTCCAAGAAATGCTGTGCTTTTCGTTATCCTCTCACTCTTAGCTTTTAATTTAATTTTCTTATTAGATCTTCAACAGCAACAAAAAATGCTTAAAGTTTCATACTAGAAATGAATATCCTACAGCCTTCTTGCAGCCACAGCATCTGCTTCTTCAGGTTATAGGTATGAATACTTAAGTGTTTGCTAAAGAGAAGAAACAGAACTTTTAGCACAATGCTTCTCTTAGGTCAATACCCGTGCTGTTGTACACTTCTGCCATTTTTTCCCATTCTTAATACATATTTTTTCTAACCACTTGTTTTCTGTTTTTAAAAAGTGCTCAGCCATTTGACAGAACAAATGCTTGACTCTGCCCTGCTGCTCGAGTCAGACTGCCTGGAGGAGGCAATGGCACAGAGTTTGTTGTTTTTGACAGCACTGTTAAAAGCATGAAATGTTTCTGAAGGATTGGCAGAGCCTTGTAATAAGGGTTGCAGGAAATGACTGTATTGGGTGTGGAAGAAAGACACTGTCCAGATTTAACACATGAGCTACCAAAATACTTGAAAACAGAGGACAGGAAATGGAGTTACAGGCTAGACCAAAATGTGGTACAGAGCTCCATTGTTCCAAAGAGGTATATTGTTCTGAGGCTTCAAGTGCAATGTAGAGCATCACAGCATTGCATGTAATAGTACTGACAGCATACTGAGTGATAGCATTCTATTTGTTATTAGATTAAAACACCAACTCTTTTAGTACCGTAAGGTCTTTAAACACACTGTCATTTTTTATAAAATGGAGGATGCTGTAACAATGTGTTAGATACAGTTGGATATAAGAGTAGCTGTTTTCAAATAATTTCTCTTCCCTTGCATCTTTTTCCTGACCTGCTTAGCTTCTGCTCAGTCCATTGGGGAGGTTTGCTTTGTGACCTGCTGCGGTGTGGGCTTTTCATAGCTAATGTGTACTCTCATTTATAATGGATAGGTATCGATGCATCTATTTAATAAAGATGTCCCACAGTTTCAGATACCTCAGAGGTAGCACAGAACTTCTATTTTTATGGTTTCTTTGTCTGTGTGACCTACCTTTTAAAACATAACATTGAAATCGCCCTGCACTTGTTCTGTATGTTCTTGTGCTTCATTCCTATGTCCTACCACATGAAGCAACCCATACACCTGCCACAAGCAATTAGGAAATAAACCAATTCTGTGTGGATTTGGTTTCTCTGTGTCTGTGGTTGGGTTGTTTTTTGCTTTTTTTTGCCTGGAGCTCCTGCAAGTCTCTTCTAACCCATGATGAACAGTTGCCAATTTTCTCCTACAGTTGAGCTGTACGCTTCGTTCTATTTTGTATTGTCCAGTCTAAGCAAACTTCCCAGCCTCTTTAGCTTAATTTTATTTCTAACCTTGAAACATCCCAAGAAATTCTGTTATTTTCTGTTGAAGAACATAGAAACTTCAGTCGTGAAATAGATTTTTGCTGCGGTTATGGAGGAAGAGCGCTGACACAAAAAGCTTTTTCTTGCTGCTATCATTATATCCCTTCTTTCCCACCTGGCTTCTGAGTAAGATGGTACAATTCTCAGAAAACTGATTCCCCTACCTCCCCTAAAAGTGCTTCAGGAAAGTACTAAATTAGAAAAGCTCGTCCTTACCCTGTGAGTCTTGGAAATAAAGGAACATATCAGATCATCCATGTATGGTCAGGCATTTGGCACAGTAGGAAATCCACAGAGCAATGAAGTCTAATTTGAAATCCTCACTTGAAAGTTGTGAATGTACTGCTTAGTGACATGTGAACAAAAACTGTGCTTGCAAACTTTAGATCAGTGCATCCCAACCATTTTGTTTTTTCTTGAAAAATATTTAGCAGTATCCTAGTTTCCAAAAGACCTCTATAAAAGTCAATAGGACATCTTTAGTTCAGTGGGAAATATTGACCGTGGGTGGATGGTTGGATTTGGATGATCTTGGAGGTCTTTTCCAACCTTGCTGATTCTGTGATTCTATCTTCACATCAGCACAAGGACTTTGTTATTCTTACACTAATCTTTGCTGTTTCCACTGCTGAACTGATGAAAGTAATATATGAGGTTTAATTGGTAGCAGGCGGGGAAAAGATGAGGGCTGCATTTGACAGTTCCCCCTGTGTATTAAGAATTGGGGTAACAGGAGAGGCTCCCTCATTGGCAGCCTGGTGAATTCACCCCTGGGTTCTTGACACAGATGAGCTCAGTATCACCTTCATTAAATGTTGTGCTGTCCTACTGATAGTTACTGTTCTTCATCCTTGCTATAAAATGCATTAGGAATTTTACTAAAGAAGGTACAATGTGACACTGATATCTTTCTTATTTTAATTGCTTTTAGATTAACATGTATTTAATGTAATAAAATTGGATTGGGCATAGGGGCCTAATCAAATTAGAATAATAATACAAAATTCATGCCAGCGTGGCACTACAGGCTATTAGAAGAGAATTTCCCACACAGTGAACTTTGTGTAATAGACTTCCCCTGAACGGTGACTATAAAGGCCACTTTCAGAACTGGAATGTTAGTATAAACATAATGTTATTATGAATTGTATTTATTTATACATGCACACACAACTTCTGTAGTGTGAGCTATGGAGCTCCCTGGTGTAAAATCCTGTCGCTTAACGCTTTTCCTTTGCAGCTGAATAAGGTGTGGGTATCTGGGGAGTTGTTGCAGTAAGTCTGGAAAAATCATTATATGGTGGCTTAAAAAAAATTCTGATAAATATGCTGTAGTGAACGTGACATGTTCTCCTACTGCTACAGGAAAACGCAGTACTGTGCACTGCGTTGTTTCTGTATTGCGTTACTTTCTTCTGATCAGAGCGTAGACTCAGGGCTGTGTGCTGAGCACAGTCAGTGCTGAAGTCAGGACTTGTATGTAGGATGGGGCTCGTCTAATTGTCCTTCACTATGCACACCAGGAGTAAGGGGTAGGGACCTGTGTAAGATCAATCACTGGACATGAACAGCACGTATATCTGTGCCCAGAGCTTAGAATGAATTTAAATGGAAAGAATTTGTTCTCCTTATCATTACCACGTATATATTAACCAGACAACGTGTACTATTGCAATTTGAAATTAATTTTATTGTTGAGTAGGAACTGAAATCCTGCAGATCCTAGATGTATTTGTAGAATCCATTGTAGAGGCAGCAATTTTGTATAGTTGGTGCTTTGTGTGGAGGGGGGGGTAAGGATGCAGTGGGGCTGTGCAGAAGCTCACGTTCTTGAGAGTTCAGCTTGGAGAAAGGAAAGACCAAAACCAACGTATGTTACTAGAAACAGTTCTTTGACAGTAGTTGTTCTCAGCATTTAAGCTGCCATGCAGAGCCTTTAAGGTAATACAGGCTTTATGTATTGATCTTCTGGGGGCAGTGCCTTTTGTTTGGTTACTCTGTACCATTCCTCTTGTGAGAAGTTTGCATTGGCAGTTTTATGAAAGAAAGATTGCATAATTTGTGCACGCACCAAGATTTTCTGTGGCTCCTTCCCTCGAGGTATGTGTGTCTGAAGGTATGTTTGTTTTCCAGGAAATGGGTTTGTGAATTCTCGAGCTTCACCAAGCCTGCTCGGCACTGCTGGCGGTGGGAATGGCTTAGGCAAAGTCATGCCTACAAAGTCTCCACCTCCACCTGGAGGAGGTAATCTTGGAATGAACAATCGAAAACCGGACCTCCGTGTTGTCATCCCACCCTCCAGCAAGGGTATGATGCCACCACTGGTAAGTTAAAACATTTGTTCTGTAGCTATTTTGGGGTCAGAACGACTTGTTTTGCCCACACGCACAGGAAGACACTATCTCATCTGCTGACTGTAGGTTACAGTAATAGAAAAGCCTTTTTTTTTTTAAAGCGTAAGCTAGCAATCTGACCTAAACATGGTTAAGAGAGCAATCCTAGAGATTTAGATTTGGATTTTTTTTTTGATGCCTCACTGACTTGGCACTGAGAACTTAGCTGCTTTGGAGGATGTGGGTTTTAAGAAGGGTTATGCATTATTCTGTGCAGGAGTAGCTCATATTATTGCTAATAGGAACTCTATTAACATGCGCTAAAGCAAATTTGTACCTGTTTTTCCTGGATTGTAATGTTTGTGGGATATAAAACATAGCTTCAGTGGTAATGATGGTCTGAGAAAAACTCCTGTTCAATGTGACGTACTGGAGTGCAACCTGTGTGGCACAGTGTGCTATGCTGGGTGTCCCATCTTCAATGGAGACATGAAAGGGTAATGAGGATCAGTCTCAGGCCCTATTTGTGTACCTTTCAATACTACTATGCAGCTTGGCATGTTGGTAATAACGTTTGCTCAGCCTGGGTTTAGCATAGCACCAAGTACTGAGTCAGGCATGAAGCAACCACAGCACTGAGAGCAGAACAGGTCTGTCGGGAAGAGTTGCTCTATTCCTCCATTCATTTGGCTGACCAAATCCTTTTGGTCTTTCACTGTCACATAGAATTCTTGTACATTGATATGGGTGTTCTTTCTTTTCTGTGTATGGAAGAACGAACCATAACCAAGAGGAGCAGGATATAAGCAACAGAAGTACTCTCTGAATAATTTGTGTTTGTTCTTAAGATACCACAAGTGCTTACATTTGTACTGATATTCACAATGAATAATACAAAATTAATCCAAATAACAAAATTTAGTTATGTTTGGAGTAATGATTCTTAAAGATGAGGGTTTTTTTTTAGGAATACTGAAGTGTGGAGGACAGGAGATGCACTAGATAGATTTTAAAGTGAAAATTATTTTTAAAATAATTAGAAATAGGTACAAAAAGTGTTGGTGCAATTCTAACGTTAGAGGTGCACAGTACCCACTTACTGTGCTGTTGTCAGGAATGACAGAAAATTCCACATACTTTCTGGCTTTCTGAGGAATTTGGAAGGAGAATTCTTAGAGGTGCTGGGATGGCACGGTGATTGTATGCGAGAAATATTTGGTTACTTTGCTCACTGTGTATTGCATCAATGCAGCCAGAAACAGCTGTGTTGCATACTTACACATGATGTCAATGTGTAGTTGTGTTCTTGCTTTTATTAATTTTTCTGCTTTAGTTTTGCCAAAATATGTCTTTGGTACAGTATTTCTTATCAAGCGACCTGCATTACGTGACGTCCTTCCCAGCAGTGTTATTCAGAGTCAGGAGGCAAATTCGCGTTATTAACTGAAATGAATAAAAATGTGAAGCACAAACGTGACTTTTTCTTTCATCTTTGAAAGCAATGCTATTGTTAGTAACTGTGTTATCCCTCTTGTTTGCTGAGTACAGACGGAGGAGGATGAATTGGAGTTGGTGAGTCTGGGCTCCTGTTTGATGAGACACAGCAAGACAGCAACTTTTTACTACAGTTCTGTTTAACTGTAGTTTCATTACGTGTTTTAAACAATTCCAGTGTTCCCTTGGTAGCAGATTGAAATACAATTGTTTATCTGACTTAAAATGGACCGATTCAAGTTGAATTCACATCCAAAGTTGAGCACTTTCCATTTGTAAATTTTTTTTTCTGAAACGATTTCTGTTTTTCTTGGAGGGAACATTGGAAAAGAGCCTTACAGAGTAACTGTCCATGTGTATAGCATGTTTGATGTGCTTTGTTTTATGAAGCATAAACAACCACTTATCCCCTAAATTGTTGCAATATTTTTAGAAGGTGGCTTCAGTCCTGACGCTTTCAGATAGTAACACAAGTGTGCCGTGTATTACTTATTGCATGGAGATGATATCATTGCTGATGAGGTCACCTTTTTGAGTTTAGCATTATTTCATCCTGCGTGAGATTATCAAACCACAGGGGTGTTCCCTGTTTACCAAAAGGAATGGAGAATTGCAAAACGTATTATTCTACCTTTTTTCCAGTGGAACGATACTTTGTTTTTGAAAGGAAACTCCTGGGATTTGTGTTCTGCTGTTTTTTTTTCCAAAAGGTTTTAACATTTGGCATTCTGTCTGGAAAATAACGTAAGGCTACAATAATTTGTAACTTATTTTTAGAGCAATTTGCAAATTGTTCAGCTGCCGTAGCACAAAGCGTGCAGGAGGTGCTGCATCACAGTGCAGCCCTAAAGACCCAGCAGGAACTCTGCGTAGTGTACAACTTGATCTGGTTTCCAACATGGACCTGTTGCTAACAGGAGGCTCTAATTGCATGAAAGCATGGAAAATGTAGTGACATAGATATGTTTCTTAATACTGCATGCTTTTGGTTGTTTTTTACCTTACACGTAAGCAATAGACATACAAAAGTAAGGGGAAATGTGTTTTTGAAATCCAGTGTGATAGCTGATAAGTTTCATTGGGCTGCCTTGTTAGCAGAGCAGTTCTCCACCATCTTCTCACCTTCGTAAGGAGTGTCTGTTTCCAGCACAAGAGAGAGAGCTTTAATTCAACGTAGGAACTCTTAATCAAAATAGCATTGCATAAATGTCAGAAATTGGATTTGTGCAAAAGCAATTGAATTAAGGCATTCTCCTGCTAGAATTGCTGCACCCCTTGCGATGTGAAATGATGCACTCTGAGGATGTGCTCCGTGTACGGATGCTGCATGGAGAGCGGGCCCTCTAGCGGCTGTGCCACGGGCTGCTGGGGGGCACGGAGAAACAGCAGTGCCTTCCTTGCACGCTCTCGGCAGTATGTAGAGCAGCTGTAAGGGAATCACTCCTACTGTGCTCCTTTCTGATGCTGATGTGCCAGACAGCAGTTCCACATCGCAGCTTTATGAGTGCATGTTCGGTCTGCTTGGAACTGAACGTGGGACATGGAGAGCAGAGATAGTAGTGTGCAGCAGTGGTATCCAGCTCTGCCTGCCCCCCGTCCTGTGCACAGCTTAAGGAATGGGCTGACTCTGCAAAAGCAACGAGTGCTGGATACATCCAGATACATCTCAGTGCCTTTGTGTGGCAGAATAATTCAGAAATAAACCGCCTCCGAAAACCACCTTTATTATCCACTCAAAAAAGCAAAAAAATCCCATGGGGAAATCCTTTGGCCTGGATTGTTTCCCAGTGTACTCCTCTAACTTTTCCATTATGCAGTAATCCCAACTTTATAGGCTGCCATCCAAGAAAGCTTTGTAAAAAGGTCAATTCCTGACAGACAAAAATCTGCTCTAATAACATATCTTAGGGCCAGATAAACTCGGTCTAGTGGAGATTTTCAGAAGTCCCTAAGTGATTTAGAGGGATAAATTGTAGAGAAAAATCAGTGGGACTCACTTTGTGGTTTTGGGGTTTTGGAACCTGGGAAGTGGAGCAGATCCCAGAGGCTGTGGGGCTCGGGGCCCTCCTGCAGGGCTGGGCCAGGCACAGCATGGCAGTCACTGTGTGAAAACTGTGCTACACTGATTTTAATATGGTAGCTGCAGTGTTCCTGTCTAAAGCTAGCAAGTGAAATTCTACCACAGAGACAAAAATCCCACTATTTCTGTAGCAGATACATTTTTTTGGGAATACAGGAGATACAGGGATACAGGCAATTGCCTTAAAAATGTATGAACTCCAGCTCCCTTAACAGGGAATGCTTCTTTGAGAATGTAGAAATGCAGAGTGCAAGGAAAGGGAAGTTAGGAGCTCTGTCAGTAAGATGAAGCATCTCTTGCTTAAAAAGAAACCCCACAGCATTGCATCCGTGGAGAGCAGTGTGTCTGTGACAGAGCACTTTGCTGTCTGCTGGCATTCAGCGCAATATTTAATGTAAGGTTTTCTAAACAGCAAATTTTGTTGAAGAGCTTAATGTGAGTGATATGTTTGCTACAGATGTTCACTCCAGTATATGGCAAAGAAAGACTGCTCACGCCTACAGCGAGAACAGATAATGTGAGACTATGGAGTTCGGCTGTTTTTCCTGTCAGAAGGCACAGTTGTTCTGCATTAACTCAAATGTCATTTGCTTTGAAACGTATCTGCACTATAACAAGTGCTTCACCGGTTTCTCAGCAACCATGGGAACAGCAGGATTGTTTCCTGGCCAAGGTCTTAGCAACAGAAACGTACACCATCGCTGCATTGCTGTCAGGGCAGGTGTAGTTAGCACAGGGTCAGAGCTGGCAGCTGAGATGCAACAGTCAGATTAACTGCTGGAAAGTGGGGTCTGTTCCCTAATGGAACTGCACCTCGCCATCTGCGTTAGATCCTCTTCAAAAATAAGGCTTGAAGCCCCTTCAGTCACTTAAGAACTTCTGTCCTTCAGCTGAAACGAACACTGTTGAGATGTGCATGCTCAGGAGGGGACCAGCGAGTCTTACCTTTTTCATTTCTGTTTGTTGAGATTGTTTTTGGTTGAGCCTTGAAATGTTGAGGTTCATTTATAAAATCCATCCTGACAAAAGCTATGTATTGCTAATTGAAATACAAAGCAAAGCGACACATTTTATTTGAGCGCTGTTTTTCTATTAGCACGTAAGTTTCTGTTATCTCTGACTGATATCACAAGACATGCTGTTATTTTTCATCGTTTATAGAATACCCAAAGGATAAGTAGTTCTCAGTCCACGCAGCCCCTCGCCACCCCCGTGGTGTCAGTGACAACTCCCAGCTTGCCGCCGCAGGGACTCGTGTACTCGGCCATGCCCACTGCCTACAACACTGGTAAGCATTGTGTGTGCCTTGATTCCTCAGATGCACCAGGTTTTGTGATTCAGAAGCCCAGAAAATTTGCATTTTTGTGACACTTGGCTTTATTTTGCTGCTCAGCTGAAATGAAGGCTTTTATTCATCCAAAAATGAGCCTTCCGAATGTAAAAATGTGTCAATGTTGGGACTTACAGACGGAAGAAGCTTTCAGTCAAGTTGTGCACAGCTGAGTGCAGGCAGAGACACAATGAATGCATTTCCTTATTGCTGCAGTGTTCTCGCTGTCCATCTGTGAGGTGACAACCTCACACTGACACAGTGTTGGTACTTCAGGGCTGAGCCATGCACTCTGCTGAGTTCCCGTGGCACAGGGAGCTGGATTCAGAGAGGACATCCAGTTCTCAAAAAGCAGAAGGGCCCCTTCCTCTTTGGCTGTGTTCTCCAGAGTGAGGTGGGGAGTTGGTGGTGGGCACAGTCAGCATTTAATCACTGGGAGTGTCTGAAGGACTTTCAAACTGCTTTTTTTTATCCAAAGTGTGATTCAGATAATTTGGTAACATGACAGTTGGTTTGTCCATTCGGAACGTAGCTCAGACTGTGGTGCCTCCTGCTTTGTCTCCACACCAGCAGAGTTAACTCAGAGCCTGCTCTCGAGGTTCTGTGTTTGTCACAGAGCCTGTGTGCAACAGGGAAGGGAGCTCTTGATAATCATTTCCTTGATAGGCCACACCTGATGGACTTGGGCTGGTCTGTGATGCATAGTTTAGTTTGCAAATGCACTTACAGAGAAACTGCACTGAAGATAAGTGTGAGATAGTAGGTCTGAGTTAAGTTAGCTGTTGCTTTAAAAGCAAGTGGGAAAGCAGAGGAAATAGTTGCCCAGTGTGCTGTTGTTTTTATGTGAGATCTAGTTAGAACACTCAAATGTAAATGCTATAATATCTGTTATAACAGGAATTTCTGACCTGGGGAGCATTGTGTCTGCAATAGTAGCATTGAAGTCTTACTTGGTAGGCTTTCACTAAGTTATTATGCATATACTCCAAGCAGAATTGAAGTCCAGTCATATTAAATACTCTGCAAATAAGTCTGTAGATGTATTTCTTTGGTGACATTGTTTTATACAAGAAAACTTCTTAAAGGAGACTTCTGGTGGTGTGTGAGCTTTACTTGTGGACTGAGATTTGAGGCAGTCTGTAATGCTTGCTGAGCTCTGAAACCAAAGAACAGAAAAGGCAGTGTATGGTGTGTTGCAAATGAAGCCATTTTTTTAAACGTGGCAGTGGTCTTTTTGAGAGGGCACACGTGCAGTTGTTTCAGGGCTGTCTCATGTCCTGTGGGCAGCGAAAGCTCAGGCTGAGCAACTGGTACCTGAGCTCTTCCCTTTTGTCTTTTCTTCTCTTTTCCTCCCGTCAGAAGGCTCTGCTGGGCAAAAAAGCCCAAGAGGGCAGAGCAGGAAACAAAGCATGGCCTTGTGCAAAGGTCAGGGCAAATCCAAAGAAACTTTATTTCGTGTATGTAGAAAGTAGCTAGAACTCGAGTTAAACAAAGGCTTTTTGTGTTTGTGTTCTGCAAGGATGGGCACTGTCAGGAGTCTGTTCTGAAAAAGGGAGCAGAACGAGTGCCATCCCTTCATAATCATTTTCCTGACAAAAAGGCTGGATTTTATACATTGGCTGTTTTTTGATATATTTTTTTTTTTTAGCTTTAGAGGACTTCAGGATGTTTGGTTAGTTCCTACCTGTAGCCATCTGTCAGCTCAACAACTGGAATCTGTTTTGGTCTCATTTCCCCTTACCTACAACAGTGTCACTGTGCCCATTAGCTGCTATTAGCACTCTTTCTGCACTGGTTTGCCTTCGAGGCACTGCCCTGCACCCACTGCATGCAGGGTTTGGTTTGAGCAGGGACTGTTCAGTCAGCAGTGGTTTCTGCTGCAGAAAAGGTCAAAGGTTTCTGCTGCAGGAGCACCTGAGTGCAGGAGGAACGTGTGCAGGTGGTTGCTGCCCTGAGGATTAAGGGCTGGAGTGGCCAATGGACAGGATGGGGCTGCAGTAACAGTGCTCTGAGTGAAGAATTGTTGTTAGTTTTTTGTTTAAGATTAGAAACTGCAGCATGAATGTACTGGACACGTAGACCTGGCTGTGATTCCTGCTGCAGTGACTGTCCACACGTTTTGTTTAATCGCTGCTTACAGTAAGCCAGCAGTTCCTGTGCCCGCTCAGAGGACTGCTGTTGTTTTCCTGCCCCTGAGCAGTCGTGCTGTTCCCTCTGTGCTGTGCGTTGGTTGGAGGCAGCACCGTGTGGCAGCAGCTGCTGGGAGGTGGAGTGGTGCTGTGCACTGAGTGCTTGGGAGCAGCACCCACAGTGAACGTGGTGTCCCACACTGCAGCCAGGTGCTGTCACTGCTAGGAAATTATTCTAAAAACCAGAGCACTGCCTTTGGGTAATGCTGTGTTTTGTGAAAAGCTCTTTTGCCTTTAGTGTTTCTCAGGTACTTCGAAATTGTATCTATTACACAGAGCCTTTCAGGGGTCTTAAAAAAAGAAACTTGATTTTGAACCAAAATAGTTGCCTGATTGTTGCTGATTGTTACGGCTCTGGTAGCTCTGTAGGTTGAGTCCATGTCCTCATCATTGGAGGGCTGGATTTTTTTGTCTTGTAAATCTCAGATAACTGCTGGGTACAAATACCGGCTGAGAATAAACAAAGAGGCAGCACACTGAGTGTAGTGTGCTGGGCTGCAGCCAGGCTCGCCAGGCTCCTCATGGAGCTTCACGCAGTGCTGCCCATGCATCTCTGAGCAGCGTGGCTGCTGGCACTGCGTTTGCCTCCCTCTATAGGGCAATGAGAGGAAAACCCTGACACGTTGCACACAGAACGAGTTGGTATATGGTCAGAGGGAGACTGAGAAAGATAAACTGTAATGGTTTTGGCATTTTAGGACAACACTAGGACTGCAATCAGACAATAATACTTGAGTGAGTGGAATTTCTAGTTACCCTGCAGGTGATGCAAGTTTGACTCCCAGCATTTTGTCTTACCCTCTAAGTGCCAAAAATTATTTTAAGGAAGAGATGTTACAAGATAATTAAAAGCAGACAAGTATTTGCAGCTTTGTTTTTGAACCTGAAAGAAAAGCAGAGGGTGATGATGACAAAATGAAAATAACTCCTCATGTGCGAAGGAGAACTGTCTGAGCATTACAGCCTGGGCAGAACTAACAGCCTGACATTGACTGGTGATCAGGAACGTGTTGATTTTCCTGTTACACATTTAAGTAAATTATATTTCTAAATAATGCTTTTCTTCTGTAAATTAGTTCATTTGATACAGAGATGTCCATTTATTCAGACGTAAAATAATGAATCACAGTTGTGGGAAGAGGGAGAATATGTTAAGGTAGGGCTGCATCTACGAGCAGAGGGGCTGTCAGGGCTCCCAGCTGCAGTGCCTTTGCTCACAGCACCCTGTGGGGGCACAGCCCTCTGCTCACACACACAGATCTGAGTCCCCGTGCCAGTCCCTGCCCTCACTGTTCAGGAGCTGGGCCAGCAGCAGTGTTCCCTGCTTGGTGCGGGGATGGGCTGTAGGGCTGTACTATGCTTTGTAGCAGAGGCAGCAGCCAGAAGGTGCACACTGTGTCTGGGGAACTGCTGCCTCCCATCTCAAGTACGGGTTTGATCTGGAGCTGAACCAGAGTCAGGTTTTGTTCAGTAAGTTCAGAGCAAGAAACAACATTCCTTTCTATGACTTGTCTTAGTGCTTCCTTTTTTGTTTCATTTTGAGATTTCCTTGTAGACTTAAATCTTCAGAAACAAATACTTGTTGTAAGGTGTGTGTGTGTGAAGGCTGCTCCTGTGAGGTTAGAAGCAGCTGTGTAAGGCAATGGCATGTAGGCAAGAACTGCAGAATGCAGCTGGTGCTGCGTGTCCTGCTGTGGTGCTCCTGAAGTTGGGAGGACTTCCTCCAGGTATCAAAGTGGTCACCTGTGGGCTCCTTTGGGCCACCTGCCTTTAGGTGTTCTGGGCAGAAAGCCTTTATGTTTGTCCATGTCTGTATGACATATGCTCATATATTTATATATGTGTATGTATATGTAAGTACATATAAATAAATCTGTTAATACACTTTTTTATCTGTTCTTCCCTCAGATTACTCCTTGACTAGCGCAGACCTGTCTGCCCTGCAGGGATTTAACTCCCCAGGAATGCTGTCTTTAGGGCAGGTATCTGCCTGGCAGCAGCACCATCTCGGTCCAGCAACCCTCAGCTCTCTCGTGTAAGTAGATTTGTAATAGTGCAGTACTGCATGGCGGGGAACTTCAAGGTGAATAATCTGCACTGGGAAATACATAACAAAACCATTTTGCTTTTTTTTCTGCCCCCAACATGTACATTGCTCTTCCAGCTGGCCTGCTGGCTGCAGTTCTGTGCCCGTGTTGTGCTGTATGTATCCTCTTTGGCCCTTCGCTCAGTCCTGAAGCTGACGTGCCGGATCCCTGCAGGCCCACCTCCTTGCTGAAGTCACCAACACGATTAACTTCAGTGCTTGGAATGGCTAACTATTGCTGTTTGTGTTTAATGTCTATACAAGTACTTGAGATCTTTAATTGATGCTTTCTTTCATGTTAGGAAGTGGCATTTATTTACATGCTTATTTCAAGGATGTGGAACTACCCGGCAGTGCTGTTCAGCGGATGCATGAACTGGCGCTTTCTTTTCCATTCTCATGTTTTCTTATTTCTTCCTTTCGGTTTTCTTTTTCCCAGTACTGGCAGCCAGATATCTCAGGGTTCAAATTTATCCATTAACACCAACCAAAACATCAACATCAAATCGGAACCGATTTCACCTCCCCGGGACCGCGTAACTCCCTCTGGGTTCCCGCAGCAGCAGCCCCCGCAGCAGCCACAGCCCCCGCAGCCCCCGCAGCAGCCGCCGCAGCGCCAGGAGTTGGGCCGCTCTCCTGTCGACAGCCTCAGCAGCTCCAGCAGCTCCTACGATGGCAGCGACCGGGAGGATCCTCGGAGCGACTTCCACTCTCCCGTGGTGCTGGGAAGGCCGCCAAATTCAGAAGATAGAGAGAGTCCGTCAGTAAAACGAATGAGGATGGACACGTGGGTGACATAAACTTGCAGTGTTGCCTCTTCAGTTTTGCGTTCTCAAAATGAACTGTCCTGACATATCTAAATTTATAAATAAGGACATGAAATAAGTATATTTATATGTATATACATACGTGCATATATATATCTTCACATGCATATATATGTGCTAGTGTGTGTAGCATACACAGAATCATCAGGCACTTATTACAAACTTCTTGTATAGCTGCAGATGTCCCATGGTAAAACGTAACAGAACAATCCTGTAGGTATTGATCTAGTCTGGCACTTACCTGGACTTGTTGTTTTAATAATATAACCTGTTTTGCAAAGAAACATTGTACCCGTATTATAATCCTACCACACTAGATTGCAGAAACCAAGAGGGCTCGCCTGTAGTAACGTCCCTGTGTGTTTTATTAAAGCTGTATGGTTACTTGTAGTTAAGAAATAATGCTTTGTAGCAGCAGAGCAGTAGAAAAGCAGGAAGAAGAAAGCAATACTGTACATAAAACGACCTTTATATTACCCCACCTGGCATGGGTCTCTATTGCAGAGGGTGCATGGAGAAGGGCTGATGCTAGAGAAAATAAAAAAACAAAAACCCTGTTTTGCACGTGCAAAAAAAAAAAAAGTGTATTGGGTCAAAGAAGTGATTTTTTTAACAAGTGAGAGAGAGACATAGAGAACTCGCATGAAATATTCTGAAAATATTAGCCTAGAAAATAGAACATTAACAAAATAAAATTAATATATTAAGTTATAATTGGAATATGTTTGACAAATTTGTTTTTACGTTCATACCTTTGAAAAATATAGAAATGGATTTTAGCTCATGTATATTTTATATTAAAGAAAACAATACCCTAATGAATTGAAGACTATATATAAAGTTATATACAGTACTTTTGAACACATTCTGCTATGAATTATTTATATAAGCCAAAGCTGTATGTTGTAGCTTTTTTGTAGAGTATAGTTTTATCTTATTTTGACTTTCTAGTTTTTGCTTTCAAAGATGAAAAGGAAAAACTTGCAGGCGGAACCTTGGGGGAAAAATAAGCCATGAACACTTATATGTAAATTTAAATTTGAGCCAAACTCTTTGTGTATATAGCATCTTAAATATATTATCACCTTTGGTGTAAGTACCTATGTATTGTACGTTCACCAGATTAAAAAGTATATTTTTGTGGATTGACGCCGACTTGAGAAAGGCGAGGTCCTTATTAAGTAGAGTATTCACTGTTTAATATTTACTATTTTGTTAAATATACTGTACTTTCTTTGGATTTTAATTATTATTAATATTATTATCCAGATTTTTCAGAGGGTGTATAAAGGGGTTTGTCCCCCTCACTGGTGGTGAATGTGTGCCGTTAAATTGTAATCTCTGTGCTGTATGGTTAAGCTTCATTATACATTTTATATATATGTATATAAATAGCAAAGTGGCAAAAAAAAAAAATCCGGCGTTAAGTTCATCCTGCATAAATATAAAAAAATCTGCTACAACACATCTTAAGGCATCGTTTTAAAACTGCCTCTTCTGAGGAGGAAAAAAAACAAAAAACAGTGGAAAAAGCTTGACCTAATTTCTCCTGATAGGGAAATAACACATATCAGATGAGCACAAAGGGTTTCTGAAATGGTAAGTGGTTTGGGATAAAGCTGCAGCTTCAGAAGGAAACATGCAGAGCCTCTTTGCTGCTTCCCTGCAGCAGAGCAGGGCCAAGGCTTGCCCTGCATGGAGCTGTGGGAAGGGGAAGGGCAGCACCTGAGCAGCAGCAAACTGCAGGAGCTGGGAGCACGCAGCTCCAGGGGAAGCAGCACTGCTCCATGGAGCATTCCTGCTTTGTAGACATCACATTCCCACCTTCCTGCATGTTCTTTTATGCTGGGAACCAAATTAAGTAGGCCTTAATGAATTCTTAATGAATTACTGCTGGTAGTTCTGGGGGAAAAAAAAGGCAACAGTGCTGTTTTGTTACTGAAAGCCCTATTATAAGTAATCCCTGATATTTATAAAATAATTTTGCCAGATTTTAAAAAATTAATTGATTGATATTTTAACTAAGGAGTGTGAGAAACGAAAATCCAACGTGACCCAATGGGGGCAGCTCCAGTACCTTCTGGCTGCTCACTTTAACGTGTGACTGGAGAACCAAGCTGGTGCCTGTGGCTCTGCTGCTGTCATGGTGACTCCTGAACACTTGCAGTCTCTGTCGCTCCATGGCTGAGCTGTGATGTTCTGCAGTTCCCGGGTGCAGGAGCCTGGAGGAAAGGGAGACTTCTCACAGCAGCTCATTTATTTCCCAAGTGACCGAATTCACTTACCACTGCAGAGATCCTTTCACTGCTTGGAAAAGTTATGTGGTTTTTTTCATTATTTATGCACATATATGAACTTTGCTGTACATCTGAGTGGGAGTTCTGCATTCACATTTACTGTCTATTTTCTTGTGTGCCTTACGAGATGGCTTTGCTGACTGTATCTCAATAGTCTTTATTTCTATGCAGGTTTGTAAACAGTACTATTACTGTTTTCTTAAAGAAAAAGCTACATAAGGGTTAGAGTTTGTATTGAAATTGCACCTATGAATTAAAAAACCAACACGTAAGTTCCTAGGAACTGCTCACAGGACTGTTCTGGTGTTGCCCTGTGCCCCAACCCCTCCCAGACTCAGCAGGAGACTCTGGCCGCGTTCTCTCCTAGCGGGAGAAGCTCACGCCACTGAATAAATGGGAAGCCTGATTTTTAATAACAGGTAACTAACTTTGGAACATACTTTTTTAGGAATTGTAAAAATGTTTTATAATGAGAAAAAGACATAGCACAGATATTTCAACAGGTGAAAAATACTTTTTTTAACTAAGTAAATATATTGAAGTTTCAAGTGAATCCAATCCTAGTTTGAACCCATTGAAGCCTGAGTGACTTCAGATTTCTATCTTCTATTGTGACAAATCACCTCTCCATCTCTGAGCTCTCACTTTAGTATTTAAAAATTCACATGTATTTGAAAATCCCCGGTCAGGGATTTGTCAGAACAATGCTTCAGCCTTTCCTTTCACTCCAAGGACACTAAAGCATCCGAACCTTGCGAATTGCTGTGCGCACAAGAAATACATAGTAAATAAGGAACATAACAACTCCTAACAATCCATCGTGGGAAGAAGTTAAATTAGAATGTGAAAGAAAGACTTCAATGTAAACGTTTAAATCTTAGTAGAAACTTTCTTCACTTTGCTGTGCAAGAGAACACTGCTTTGCTATATTTAAAATGGCTTTTTTAAAAGAGATTTATGTATTTGGTAAATGTTTGTAGTCAACAGTTCACAAAGAAGCTGTTCACGGTTTAATGATGATAAGCCGTTTGGCGGCACAAGCTGGACTTTGTTGCCATCCTTGAGACGAATCTTTTAAGAAAAAAATAAGTTAATCTCAATTTTTTCCCTGAATGTGTTGTTTTTTCTTCAATATACAATAAATATTCTAGTGAACTTTTTATCAAATGGTTAAGAAAAATGCTAGAGGTTGTTGTAAAATATTTGTATCCTGCATTCACTAAAGTAAAGATACTGGCTTTTACTGTGTACTCCAGCCTCTGTCGTATTTGCAGAGCACGTCTGTCCGCTCCGTGCCCTCCTGCAGTACCCCAAATCCTCAGCAGGTTCAGTCCTGAAGTACCATTTTCAAGCTGTACCCACAGTTCATTTAACGGAAGCACTCTAAGATTATAAAACACTTACAGAAAAGAACAACAGAAGGCAAGGATGTACTTACAGCCCTCCTGCCCCTCTCCGTTGGCGCTCCCTGCTGCTGCTGCAGCACTGCTGTGCTCCGTGTCCCGCGGCCCCTCAGCAGCATCACCCCAGGCTCTGCTCTGTGTGCTGTGAGCAGCAGGAGGTCACAGCGCTGCTGCCCGACCTCTGCAAAACAAATGCTTTGGCACAAAACAAACGTGACAGCACAACATGTTGGGAATGCTTACATTCTGTAGCGCTCCGCATTACTCCTGCAAAACACATCTTCCTAAACAAAGCTTATCCACCACACAGCCAACAAACTGAAAAACACCCAACACGCAGTTTGGGGTGGGTAAGTGCCCCTTGTGCTTTTATTTCATTTCACTTGATTTAAAAAGGTAACAATTCCCCTTTTCCCAACCACAAGGGATACTTTTCCTTCACAGAAGAAAATACGAGCCTTTTTTTCCCATTACAAGATACTTTAGGTTCCTCATTCACAACTTAGGTTTGCCCAGGCTTTCCTAAGCCCTTTTTTAAGGCTGCAGAAGCCCTGGGGTACAGGTGCGACACCACAGGGCTCTGTTTCATGTAATGCTCTTTTACCCCACACCTTTTGTGCTACGCAGAAGATGCCATAAGGCTGCTCCCCTCACCCACCTTCTTCACTTCTGCTCAGTTTTAGGCAGCAACAGAAAGGCTTTGAAAAGAAAAAAAAAAAACAAAACAGCATGAAAAACAACCAATAAAACCCAAATACCAACTTGCATGTGGTTCATGCACAGACATTAGGTTCAGCATCACAGCCCAACAACGCAGCCGGGCTCCCTAAAAATGCTGCCCTTGCGATGACCCTCCGCAGCTCCCAGGCAGCAGTGCCCTCTGCTGCAAGGCCCGCAGCAGGCAAGCACTGCTCCAGCAGCTCAGGTCTGACCTCCACAGCTTGCCACAAATGGATTCTGTGCTTTTTTTCTGCGGGCATCTTGTTGAGCTTGCTGGAAACACAGCAAATGGTGGGGAGGCTGCAGTGCGGGGCAAAGACAAACTGCCACTCTGTGCGCCTGCTCACCACTCTGCCTCCTCTGCAGGAGCTCAGCTCTGTGCAAACAGCCCCGAGGCTCCCCATGAGCAGACACAACCAGCTGGCTGCTGCTGAGTTACAGCCCAGATCCCCTCCCTGGGGGTTTCATGCAGCTGTGCTACAGCAATACCTCAGCATTTTGCTCCAGGAGAGCTTACCTCTGTCTGCAGTCCCTGAATTTGTTGAATAAAAAGTTCTGAGGACAATTCTCTGCAGCAAAACTCTCTCCCAAAGCCTCACTGCTCCTCATTTCCAGCATGCAGTGTTCATTGACACAGCACACGTATCAGGCTGACATACAGCGCAGCCACACAAACCTCCATCCATCCCCCCTACTTACTCAGAGTGAACAGGACTGTTCAGCATACAGCAGCTTCCTAGTCCCCATCTAGAAAGCATTTGATATACCCTTCTGTGACTACCTGACACAATGTTGGGCTTCTTTGCTGGTCTGGTAGGTGAACTCAGCAGCACCCTCATGTGAAGAGTACAAACAAGGAAACTCAAGTCCACAACTCCGATGTGACATCTGAGATGCACCACTATGGATTTAAACCAAAAGCAGGTAACAGCTAGATTTCCTCACAACAAATAAACCCTTGAGAAGAGCACACCATCCCACAAGCCTAACTGTTCTCACAATCTCCTGCCAATACTGTGGACATCTGCTGCCAGCCCGCTGTGGCTCTGACAAAACCCTGACAAAAACAAGGACTCTGCGATGAGCTCTGCCTGCATGGACTTTGGCAGGAAGTCTTTGAAGGACTTCCACCAGGAGAAAAGCTCTGACCTCACCCACCCCACTGCAGGACTCAAACCGCCCACTGCTTAGCCATCATGCACAAGATGTAGTGGTGAGGTGCTGCTGGTGTCCCTGTGCTGTACCACACCCCAGCCAACCAACTAAAAGCCACTGCTTTTTGGGTTTGGCCTGCCAAGGCTGCCAGGCTCTGCAAGATAGAAAAATGACAATTCATTGAAAAAGACGAGTCCTCACCTCTACTCTAAGCAAAATGTATTTTCTAAAAAAAACAAACAGCCCCCAGCTTTCCAATCACACCAATACTGCACTCTATCACAGAAGTAAAGGGTTCAGCCTCATAGACAAAACCACTCTTAAGAAATACCTGAAGCAAGCAAGAAGAGCAAACTGCTTCAAAATACTTTCCCTCATCAGAATTCACAAATGTTAAGCCAGCTGCCTGCTGGTCTTCACAAGCACAGAGCATCCTTATTCTTCCACAAAATCGCATCTCCAGTTCAGTCAAGCTCAGAACTACATTGACTAGTTTAAAAAAATACATATATATATCTGTAGTGTTATCCCCCCGATTGCACTCGACTCAGAGTCACCATCTTATGGGTGTCAGCGCTGGGAGGAGAGGCTGTATTGGGCTGTATCTCCCCCCTAGCATTTTTTTCTACGACTGAGCCTCGTAGTAATTTCCCTTCCAATCCATCTGTTGAAATATTTGAGGCTGCTGTTGTGTTGGAGGTGTGGGCCGCCGGGCCATTCTCTTGTGTTTTAAAATAGATGATATAAAACACCGGCAAGACAATTCCTACCAAGAGCATAATAAAAACTGCATTCCACCACTGGATTCCACAGTCTGCACCATTACTGCTCTCCCGCTTCCCCGGCTCGGCCAGCGGCCTCTCCGGCGCCTCCACGCAGTACTCAGCACTCAGCTGCGCCTCCGCCTGCACGGCGTCCTGGATGCTCTTGTCGATGCCTTTGAAGTAGTCCACGAGCTGCCTGCTCTCAGCAGAGCCGCTGCCACCAGCGCCAGGCTCCGGCACGTCCACCAGCACCACGCCGCTCTGGGAGCGCGCAGCTGGGAGCGGCCTCAGCTCCTTGCTGCTCTCTGTCAGCAGCCCGTGGGTCTTCACGGGGATCTTGATGGACTTCAAAGCATACAGGTCCTGCTCCCGGATAAAGTTGTTGACGCGTTTGATGTCTGCAACCTGCAAGATCCAAAAAGGACATCAGGTATCAGTTCAAAACGACCCAACCTTTTACTGGTGTTGAAGCAAGAAGCGGCTACAAAACCAGCCTGAAAATAACAACAAGCTCTGTTTGCAAGCAGTTTACTGTTCTTCAGAGATTTCCAGCAGTTACAGACATGCTCCAGGTCCTGCAGCTTTAAGATGCTCCTGTTATGTCCACGACACGTACCCCCATGACACGTACCCCTACAGTGCTTTCACACCTCCTCTAATCTGTGCTCTTCTTACCAAGTTTTTCCCCTCTCTTTGCCTTCATTACCTTTCTCTTACCTACTTTTTAAATCCAAGTCACAGCAAGAGGAATCTTTAGAGCAAACCTTTTAAAAACAGTTACACCTTAAAGAGCAGACAAGTGCTGAAGGTGATGGGAAAATTGCAGTATGAGCAAGAGGTAAGCAGCAACAGCATCTTTGGAGCACACTGCAGCTCTGCAAGCAAGACCGCAGGCTGGGAGAGAGTAGCAGGCACCTCTCACACTGCTGAGCCTCTCCCCTGCATAACTGCTCCATGCAGCTCACTTCTCCACAGCTGCTACAAGTCCCTGGTGATAAACATTTAAGGCAATAATGTCCACCTGTGAGCAGCTCTGGATGTTGGTGTGTGCTAACAGAACATCAGCCAGGGGTCCACACCTGTGCCTGGTGTTTGCACCCAGCTCAGTCATGCAAACAGCAATAAGAACACACCATACATACAGCAAAAGTTAATAAGAACTGCTAGTAACAAAGAGCAAAGTCAGCAGTAAGGCAGCATTTCCTTATTTAATGTTAAGTAAAGAGAAGGCAGCTTAATACAGTGTGCACAGATAACCTCATAAAACCTCTGTCAGACAACAAACAGGCCACACTGGAAGCAGCAAACCAAGGCAGCCAAGCAGACATGAAAGAATCTTGAAGGAAAGGCTGAAGGAGGCAAAGCAGAGGGAACAGCAGGACCCTGACTCAGAGACCCAGCACCTCCGACACACCACGCACAGAAAGTCTGACTGGTTCTTTCAGAAGTTCAGTAAATTACTGCATGATGGTCATTCACTGCACACTCACAAGTATCAGGCTACCAATGAAACCATGAGGATTAAAACCAAGGAAGTGCGTGCTTTTCTTCCTGCAATGAGTGTCATCAGCTCCAACATGACTTGACAGCTCACAGCAAAGATCTGCCCTTATAAAAGACAACACAGGTAAGTAGAAGGCAGTTCCCAAACAGCTGTTACAGGAACACAATCCTCTCCTTGGTGGCTGCAGAATGGCTGCCTGCAGGCAGCCCCAGGGACCACCTCAGCCAGGGGGAAGGGCTCCCTGCCCTGCAGGGCTCTGCCTGCACAGTTCTTCTCCCTTCAACCCATGCTGTCAGGGAGCATTGATTCCACAGGCAGGTCTGCTATGTCACAGCTGAGCTGTAGGACTGCACTGAAAGGGAGAGGGGAGATGGATGCCTGAGCGTCGTGTTTACTCTGCATAGCCTGAGACATCTGAAAATGGGGTGTTTAATGCAGATCCTCATCTGCTGCCCCTGAAGCTAAGGGAATCCTCAGCTGCTGGATCAGACTCCTTTCTGCTTGCCTCAGCAAAACATCAGGAATTAAACTCTCCAAAATTACTTGGTTATGAAATAACAATCTGACACTAAGCCTCCTAACTGAAGCCGTGCCTCAATTTTCTGTTTTCTTCCAATGAAAACCGATTACTGGGACAGTAAACATCCCCTGCAGTGTCTGCAATCAAACTGCAACGCTGTGCTAAAGCTCTAGAAACAGAAAGTAGAGCAGCGCTCTCACAAAAACAACAAAGCTGATGGGAAAAATGTACAGCAGTAGGCTGAGCAAGCCATGTAGGCTTATTATTTGTACTCATTTTTGGCTGCAGTGAGTTTCTCTTGTCCCAGCTGAAAAGTATGCCAAAAGCAGGCCCAGACTATACATGGTCAAAAGTACAAATGAGAAGTTTGTAGTGCTCTGCATTTCTGCCATGTTACCTGTTGCACAAACAAAACTTTCTCGTGCTGTCTCAATTCCCCCACCCCAAGCAGGTCCAGATGGCTCTCAAACCAGTGACAAATTCTCTGGAATTTCAAGGAAATTTCAAGGAAAGTTCGTCCTGGAATTTTTAAACCCGGTCACATTTTTTTGCAGCTAAAAATCTTTGCTGACATCCCAGTAGTCTTTCAGGAGCTGCTTAACTGTGCAAATCCTACAAACCACATCAATACTGACCAGTGTCAGCCTGTAAACAAATTCACAGATCCCCAGTCATAAGGATTTCCATCTCTCTTCAATTTAATGGGAACAAATCAGAAGTGTGCTTCCTGAAGGGAGGGAGGCAGGGTGTTCTGCTGCAGGAGCGTGCTGACTGCCCCAGTCCTCCTCGCTTACACCACAGGAGGCACATCAAGTTTTCTCTTAATGAGAACCAACTGTTGTCGGTAATCTTTTGAGATCAGTGAACTGCTACAATTTGGCACAAGTAGCAACAGTTGTGACAGTTATCTGCTGAAGGATACATGGCTGCTACAACATCACCAGCCGCGGCTCTACTGCTTGCAATCAAAGCCTCTTTAAGCCCTACCAGGATCTTTTCTTCACAAGCACCAGCTTCAGTAGAACCTAGAAGGGCCTTTGTTTTGTTTTTGTTTCCAAGGGAATGGGAGGGGAGGAGTTGTCTCAGCTTCTCTTAGCCCTCTTGCTTCAGCTGTACCTTACAGCTGCGTTATTAAGCAAGACAGTGCAATAATATTGCAACAGTACCACATCATTATCACCAACCAGGTCACCGTCCAAATGCTTGCATTATACAACTTCTTAATCACAGGCTAGCTTGTAGATAAAGGAGCTTGTAGGTAAAGGAGGCTCGAAAAATAAAGCTGTAACTGCTAAGCAATGGGGTATTCCTAACATTCACATCAGGTCATTAAAATTGTCATCGTTTTTTCCCATGAAACTCTCCACTTCAAACCCAGAATGTGTGTTTTTCAGTGTGTTCCAACTCCAGAGACAGTCTTTGTGTGTGTGCTGTTCTCTGCCTGCAGCTGGCTGAGCCACATGCACCTCTGGGTACTGCAGGAGCATTGAAGCCCCCTCACAGCAGCTCTGTGACCCACATGTGGTACCTCTCCTATTGTAGGTCCATCTCAGACCCAGCATTACCAAGCAGTACAGAAGCTCATTCCTTTCCAAAAAAAAAAAAAAAAAAAAAAAAAAGAAAAGAAAAAGGGAAATCTAGCCCAGGCCCCACCAAAGCAGCATTTATTTCTTAATGCTGGTCAATTCATTTCAAACCTGTAACCCCGGAGAGGGCAGTGCTCTCACCCCCTCTTCTGTGCTCAGCTTCCAACTTTATGCCCTCAAATAAATAAGTACAAATCACAACTTCACTGAGGTCATCCAAATTAACCAGTAAGCCAGGCCACACGGGATGACATCTTCCATGGCTGTTAGCTCAACTGCTCTTTTTTTTTTTTTTAACCTTTCTCCAGCTCACCTTCTCCCAGCTGCTGACCATTCACAAAATACACAGGGCAAAAATGCTGTCAGACAGCAAGGAGCCCACACACAACTCTGGGAAGTTCACTGTGTGTACAACAGATCTCTAGAAGTAATGAAAACGAAAGCAAGCAGAGATAGCTCTTACTTTGCAACCATACTGCAGGGCAAGCTTGTTCAGACTGTCATCCTCAGTGATCTCTCTCTCCAGAAGCAGCACATCCCCAGCTCTGTCCCGTGCAGTGCTGCACCGCTGCTGCTCCCTGCCCCTGGGCCGCAGCTCCATGACGTTCAGCTCCTCCTCTGACGACTCCTCTGAGTCAGAGCGGCCATTTGGGAACACGTACACCTGCCCTCCCGGGTAGCTCTGGACGGAGACAGGAGCCTGGAAGGATCTGGTCCGGCTCTCGTTCAGCCTCATCTCGTATAGCAGCACCTGGAACAAAACAGATGTCACACTTTTTCATAATGTCACCTCTATTTAAAGTCTGCCATGGGACAACGCTTTGCTCACGTCACAGATTCTAGCATTTCCGAACAATAAATACGAGAAAGCCACGCACTTAAGGCAGGAATCTGTACCGTGGCAACGATCCCACAGAACGACGGGGCCGAGAGCACCGCGTCCCCCCCAGCCGCACACGCTAAGGACCGGCCGGCGTCACCTTCGTCCCTCGAGCCCTCGGGTCTCCGCAGAACGCGCCACCCGGCGTTACGGAGACGCACAAACCGCACGTATTTCGAGCCCCGGCCACGCGTACCTGCGTGACGCCGCTAAGAACGGCCGAACGCTTCGCCCCCGCGAGGCCGCAGCCGCCCGCCGCTCCCCGTCAGCGCTCAGCCCCGCGCCGTGGCCGCGCTCCCGGTCGGTGCGGCGCTGCCCGCATCCTCGCGCGGCTCCGCCCGGCGCGGCCTGCCGCCTCCTCCCGGGGAACGGGGCCCGGCCGGGCGGGCGGAGCGGTTCAGAGGAGCCTCGGCCCGACCGGAGCCCGCCGTCGCGGCCCGCTGCTCTCGGCGCTGGATCCGCGGCCCCGATCCCGACGGCCCGCACCGCCGCCCCGTCTCCCGGCCCCGCGCTCCCCGCCGGCCATCGGCCGCACGCACCAGCCCAACTCCGTCTCTCCCCCAACTCCCTCTTCCATTGGCTGGCGGCGCGGGGAGGCGGGACCTCGGCGCCACTCAACCAATGGGAAGCGGGGAAGGGCGGCCCACAGAGGTTGGTTGAGAGGTCGGCGCTGGAACGCGCCGGGTGAGGCGCCTCTTAAAGGGCCCGCGCCGCGGGAGCGCCGTGGTTGGGCCGCGCGGGTTGGGTGCACGGAGCCGGCAGCTCCCACGTGGCACCTGCACACCGACGTAGAATCATAGGATTATTAAGGTTGGAAAGACCACTAAGATCATCCTTCCTAGGAAAAGCCAGAGTTAATCACATTCTGATAAAGAAAAAAAAAAAAAAAAAAACAAACTTCAAGAAGATCTCGGTTCAGGCTTTCCAAGAAGAGCATGAACGGGAACAGAGCTCCGTCCTCCCCTCTCCCTGTGATTGCTTTGAGCTCTTGCCCAGACCCAGAACTGCTGTTCTCTTCACCACTTCTCCTTTGTCCCCATCTATGCAGCCTGACTTCAGGAGCATTCTCATTTCGCTCACATTCCTTGTATCTTGTTTCCCTTTAAGCAACCTACTAAAAACTTATTTAGTCGCAATAAAATCTATTGTTTGCATTTCAGACCACTGAGTGACAGTCTGCTACCTTCAGCTGGGAAGCCAGGGGCTGAGCGCACAACTCGAAAGCAGCTCTGATGGCTGCATTAACGCACCCATCGAGGGCCGTTTCACACATCCCAGCACATTGGCTCACCAGCGCTGGGCTGCAGCTGCTCAGGTTGGCACCCGGTGGTTTCCAACTGCCCTGAACTAGCAATGGTGAAAGCTGCAGTTCATAAATCACCCTAACTGTGAGCCGATCTGTGATTCGGGATTAATAAAAGCAAGTCAGAGGGAAATCATTCACCCATTTCCTTTGCCATATGGGTTATTAACAAGAAAAATGTAGAACGAAGAGTAATCAATAAAAGATGGAGGTGGGAACCCTCACAAATACTGAGCTACAGTCCTGGTACAACATACAGCACAAGTTAAAGGAATACTTCTTTAGCATCTTAATTTTAACCAGTTATTCCTGTTCAGTTGAGCATAAAATGGGAAAGACTCCAGAAGAGCACTGCGAGGCAACAGAAATCTACTGATACTTCTGGTATCACTGAATTGCATTTCAGCAAAGTTACCCTCTATTTTAAATTGAGAAGTATGAGCCGAATAGAACAAAATAATTCTCTCCCATGTCTGGGAGTGACTAAGCTTACGTGAGTGCTGTGTACACATTTGATTGAATTACATAGGGCAACATGTTTAAGAGATAGATACATCAGGCACACAACTTCGGAAAGAAAATTTCAGTTACATTAAATTAATATCAGGCATATACTTAATATAGTTAACTGAGCTATGGAGGTTACTCTAAGTGCACGTTTGGTAGCACTGGGTTCCACCTCACCTCTTAGAACGATCTCTCCAGTTTGCAGGGCACGTCCAGCTCAGCAGGTTCCAAACTCAGCCACAGGCAGTTCCACACATGAGCACTCCGACAGACCTCGAGGGGTCTTGTGTCGAAAACAAGGAACAAAGTGATGGTTTAGGGGTCACATCTGGAAAGAAGCACAAAGACTGTGTTCATGCTGTTGTAGAACCAGCCACAAGACCTGGCTTACAAAAAGCTTCACACCTTGTCCATAAGGGAATTCCCAACTGAGGGGCAACCGGGCCCAGACAAGACCTACATCTTCCTTACATAAGGGTACACCCACTTGCAAAGTGACACCCAGCCCTGCAGCATGGGGCACACACAATGGACACAGTGGCTTGCAGTCCTCCCCAGAGAGAAGCTTGCTATTGTCTGCAAGGAGAAGCAGATTTTGTCAACCCTCTGAGTCAGCATGTGAAGCTGTGGGCACACCATACCTCTGACTTCTTCCAGGCAAGAAGCACAGCTCTCATGTCCATCCTTGCAAGTTTTTTTTTTCCTCCTTGTAACATAGCAGGCATTACAATAAGCATTCATCGCTCATCTCCAGCTCAGAAATCAGATTAGTCCCACCTACGACGACTAAGTTTGCAACTATGCTGTGACTCAGGATTGAGACTTTCATCTCAGGAACCACAACGCAGATCTAAACAGCACTGCTGTCTCCTGAAGGAAATATTTGGTGTCCTTGTTCAGAGACCTAGTTCTGTGCTTGGCTTCCAGCGAGCAGCACCATTTGGCTCTGGCTGTCTAGTTTATGTGATAGCAGAGACTGAATTACTTAAGAAAAAACAGATACTTACTCTTTATATAAAAACAAATGACAAATTAAAAGTGGTTTTAATTTTGAAGTTTGTATTTTCTTGAGATTATGCCAAATCCTGGAGCCCATACTCCACACCCTGTCCTTCTAGAGGAATTTGGCTAGGGAACACACCATAAGATTTGTTCCCTTTCCTCTCCTTTACTCTTAAAGTCCTGAGTACTAGTAAAATCCTGCTCCTCCACCCCCCTTCCTGCAACTGGTAAATTGTGAAGAACAGGAATGTTCCTGGGAAGAAACCCAGGCTGAATCGCATTCAGAACAAGTCAGAGATTTCTTGCATAGCTGAAGCATGTGTTTGCAATCCCCAACTGCTGGAGCATGTAAGCCCTGCCAGCATATATTGTTCCTTCATATATTCTCAGAGAGCTCTTAGCAGTGTCTAGGGCACTCTGTGGACAACATTCTAGGCTGCTCCTTCGCCCATCTGCTAATGGTGCCAGGGACAAAAAGGATCTTGGTGTAGGTATGGCAAATAGGCAGGACCACTTTTCCATGAAACTATGTTAGTGATGGTCGGAGCCATCGGTCTGCACGATGTCCTGAGCCACAGACTGGCTCCATTTGAGCTCGCTTACCTACAAGGCAAGGTTTCAGGCAGCTTCTAGGACTGGTTAATTCTGGTTAATAAGCATGTGCAGCCCCAACAAAGTACAGCCCAGCAAAGAAGGACAATACTGTGAGAAGTCTAATGAATGTCCAGAAGTTATCTGGTAACTGCTGGGAAGCAGCAGACAGCCAGTAGCTACACACAGCCTGCTCTCCCTTCTGCCCAAAAGCTGCCACTAGCCCAGAGAGAATTTATATTAAATCTAAATTTAATGGTTCAAAACAGGAACATGACATGGCCAAGAAGGGTGGGAAGCTGGGGACTGAGACACTGGTTGGAAGAACACTGCTTCAGTGCATCTGGGAGGAAGCTTTTGTCCTTGGCATCATGCAGTGTGCAGTACATTACAGGAGCACAAAGTGAGTCTTCGCTCAAGCTGATGCTGGTACTGGGGAAAGGCAGGTCGATGAAAGCATCACTTGCCTTTCCAATGACCTTACCATGTGAGCAGAGCTTGCCAAGAGCTGTCTCTCATTCTGCACTCCTCATAGCCTGAGCCAACAAGCCTGAACACGGTGTGCTGATATCTGATATCACTCAGCATTGCATGGCATCCTCAAGCACTGCACATGCATCCTTTCAGAATGGACGATGACTTCTCTGTGCTTTTCTGCACATTGCACGCTTCCTTGCTTTCTCCAGCTCGTCTCACTTCCAAATATGTCCAATCCAACTTTGCTATTTCTTAAATGTGAGGAACAGAGAAAACAGAAAGGTCTTCCAGTTCAAGATCTTTGACCTTAGTACCTGAAATGGCTGTGCTGTGCTTAGCTTGGCTAGTCTTCATTCTCCCAAGTAGGGTTCCCACGTCTGTACATGGCAACAGTAATGAGCAAGTAACACATGGGGGCAGCAGCAGGCTTTGCTTCCTTGTCAAACTTGCAGGAACTTGTGGTTGTGGCATCCTTGCAAGGTCTCATGGAACTGAGGTGTCCCAAGATTTGAGGGTCACTGTATTGGACACAAGACTAGAATGACAGTCACAGCTGATCACACTGTGGGAAAAGCATATCCTTGAAGAGAGGATCTTTGTGGCTTCACAGCTCGGAAACCTGTGCCTCTGTCACTGCAGTTCCAGTCCAAGCACTCTGTGCTCATGCTACAAAGAGCATTCAACTGGCAGACAGTGGCACCATTGTCTGCAATGGCAAATATGGAGGGAGTGAAAATCCCATGGCTCAGTTCAGACCCTGCTGTCCACCACTGCAGCAGCCTGCTGAGCTTGTTGCACTGCAGGCAGGATGGAGTCCAGCATGTGCCATTCAGTGGGGTGAAATGAAAAGGATGCTCTAATTTGACTGCATCAGAAGAAAGATGCAGGGTTCACGTGACATCAATTATTATCTTAGAGATTCTGAATGTTCAGGTAATGGGGAAAAGCCTTAATCTTGGCAGTGAATGTGTTAAAGGCTACATTTTCAGAGTAGGAGCATTTAGGTCAGGGAAGTAGCCCTAATTTATACTGCAAGACTCTTGCAATATAAAGGCAATTGATTGTCTGACAGTAGTATTTCCACAGCAGGATGTCTTTCTTGCTGCTGGAGGTGAGCAGAACTTCAGGAGTTGCTTGTGCACCTGATATTCACCTGTTCTCTCACATCAGCACTCCACACTGTGTGAGAACACACGGTGTCTGAGTGGTTACCCAAGCTGATGCTCAAAGTGGCAAGAAATAAAAAACAGCAAAAGAAATTGCAGTCACGAGAAATGATGATGGGTTGATTATAATGAGGGATAGAAAACAAACCAGCTCTATGCCTCATGAGTAATTAGAAAGTAATCATCAGCCAAATGGAAAATAGGAAAAGCATTTTCTGTAGCTAAGGCTACTACTTTAATTGGAAAGTGCTGTTGATACAACTGCCTGATGGAGGTGAGAGCAATAGCACAACATGGCTGTTGCAGATCTGCAAGTAAACAGCTGAAATGCATCTCTCAACTTCAATCTGTGACTTTCTGAAGCCAAAAGAACAGCTTTAAATTTAAAACTTCTGTTGGAGCTCATGCTTCAGTTGGGCTTTGTGCCAGGACATGCAAAGACTTAGGGCATTAAGAGTCTCATGTAGAAGAAAAGACAGTGAGGAGTCATTTGAGCTGGCTACTAATGCACTGAGATGTAGCAAGCTCTTCCTTCATTCCCTTTAAACTAACTTGTGGGGAGGAAATTGGAAAAAATGAGATTGTATCACTTGTAACTCTTACAGCAAATCTAGGGCTGAGCACAGCCTTGGCGGATACAACTGTGTCCTGCACACAGAGCAACAGAAGGGTCTCAGCCCCAAGCTGCCTCTGCCCTTTCAATAGCTGGGCAGTGAGGTGGCCTCTGAAGGTGCCCAAAGTGCTAAGAAAGCATCATTAAGGACATCCAATGAACTGTTCTGACAGCTGTTGTCTTCTATTCACTTTGAACCATCATCTCTGGGAACTCTTGTTCTTCCAGAGAGTTCAAAGTATTCATAAATCCACAGCCATGCAACGCTTTAATGGTACCTCTGCTATTCCCTGAGTTGCAGGGAATTAACTGATTCACCCATGGCTGATGCACACAGCACAGCCTGATCCCAGCACTGGGAAACTGGGGCGAGGAAGCATTATGCAATGAAAGATGTGTCTGATTGTCAGTAAAGATCTAGTAATGCTGCATTTACAAACAATGAACAGTAGCTCACACATGAGCACTACCAACATGATCACCAGGTACCAAACAAAGCACAACCAGCCAAATCTACAGAAAAGGAGAAAGATATGACCAGAAAAGGAGAAAGAACCTTTTTCTACAGGCTGTGTCCCTCCTGGTTAATGCTGCAGTTCCCTGTATCTTTGCATAGGCAGGGTTTCAACAGACAGCCTGAGAATGATTACCAGGAGTCTATGCGATCCTTCCCTGGGACTCTTCACTGCCAGAAGCTGCTTTACAATATTCCCAACCATTTCCCTAAGTATATGACATGTTGGACAAAATTAAAGAAACATGGGCCTTGGGCTTCAAGATGACTGGGAAATAGCTAATCAGGCTCTCAGCTGAGCCAATTCAAGGAAGAACATCGTCAGCAATACATTTTCTCTAATTGGAGCC